CCCCGGGGCCGTCCCCAGGAGTTCTGCGTTCGATCGCAAATCACGGGAGTGTGCCCTCGCGGTTCCGTGTTTAGAGCGCAGTATTGTCGAGCAGCGTCGGGTAATCGATGGTATGTCGCGGACTGAGCGACGATTTGCGTTGATTTAGCGTCGATGAGCGTCGATTTAGCGTCGATTAGCGTCACTTCGCAAACATTGCCACCGAGTATGGGAGACTCCCATGAATTGCCACCGAATTCGCGCGGCCTTCGTAAAGTTGATGTCAGCGGTGCTGTTCGGCTGTCTGCTCTCGTGAGCCCCCCCTCGCTTTCGAGGGACCATGTTTCTGTCGATTCGCACTTCTCCTAGATATCCACAGATCGCAAAGGTAGCGTCTAGAAAACTCTCATCTGCGTAACCATGCTGAAGAGGAGGATGACGAGAGAGAGGCGGACGAAGAAGATGAGGAAACCACGAGGCGCGAAAGCCTGCACGTCTCGTGTAACAGACCGCATGCTCCACAATCCCCTGGCCTCCGTTGTCCATCCCCCGCCCAAGATCCGCTCAGAGCCTGCCCCCGGACCCCCTTTCCAGGGTCCGTGCTGGCTGGTTTTTCGAGCCGCCGTGACGACCAGAACCCTTAGAGTCTCGCAGAAACGTCCAAAGCAACGACGAGGACAACGACGACGACGACGACGACGACGGTTACGACGACGACGACAACGACGACGACGACGACGCCGACGCCGACGCCGACGCCGGCACCGACGCCGACGCCGACGCCGACGCCGCCGCTGCCGCCGCCGAAGAAGACAACGACGACGAGGCACGTGGGGTTGATTTCTGACGGCCCCAGGGAGGGGGTCCCAAAAGCTGAGATTGAGGAACAAAAACGCCAACAACCGAAAATTGAAATCGAGGAAGGCCTTCCAAAGGCATAGACTCCATACTCGATGAGAATCATCCGGCAGCAGCGCTCCGACGACAGAACAATGCCATCCAGCAGAACCCCCAGACGAAAGAACAGCGGAATCGATCCACAGGAACGGCGGAACATTGCAATCGCGGAAGACCCCCCCCAAAGCCGAGCATATGGCAATCGAGGAAGGACTCCCCAACATCCCGTATGGGCAGAGGAGTCCGCCCTCGAGCGGCAGCCCCCGCCAGCAGAGAAAAGGCGCCCTCGAGCCGCAGCCCCCCGACGGAAGGGAAGGCGCCGTCGAGAAAGTGCCTCCGACGGCGGAGGGTCGGCACCGAGGGACACGACCTCGAGAGATGAACCGCGGAGATCCGAGCGGATCTCTCGGGCCCGCGCTGGTCTTGCACCCTTCCCTTCTGCCTCCTCCTCCTCCTGCTCCTCCTCCTCCTCCTCCTCCCCCTCCTCCTCCCCCTCCTCCTCCTCCTCCTTCAGCTGGTTTGGCTCAAGTGTCGCCTCGCTGCATCGCTCGCGCCTCCCGCGGTGCCGCCGCTGCGCCGAGGGCCTCGTGCAGGCCGCGCTTGGCAAGCTTGGCGGCGCCGCCTGCGCCCGCCCCGCCCGCCCCAGCGGCTGGCCAGCCTGCCGCGGCCCCTCGACGGCGGCGGCGGCGGCGGCCGCGCGGCGACGGTGGCGCGGCGAAGGACGTTGCCGATGGCATGGGAATCGAGGTGTTCCACGAGGCGCAGGGGGAGGCGCTGGTCGTTGGCGGCGCTGGCGCGGCGGGCGCTGCGGCGCGGGGCGGTGCCCCAGGCGGCGCCGCGGCTGCCCGCAGCGGTGCTGGCGACGCGTCGGACCTCGAGTCTGACGGCTGGGCCGACGGCCTGGTGAAGACTGCGCCTGGCGAGGAGCCGCAGGGCCTGCGGAATGAGGACCGAGTGCGTCTCCCTGATTGCCGAGTGGGGCTAGACTACGGCGACCCCATCACGGGCTGCGTCACGGCGGAGGAGGGTTGCGTCACGGCGCTCTCCGGCAAGGGCCGACTGGCCCGGTGTGAGCAGGCCCCCTCGGCGTGCTGATGAAGGTGCAGGGCGATGGCTGACGTGGCCGCGCTGCCCTTCGGCACACGTTTCGAGCTCTTCTGTGCTCCAGGCTAGCGGGCCGTGCCCTTCCGCTGCGGACGTCGTCCTCAGTGCCGTCTTACCTGATATTATTTTCCTCCTCCTCCACCTCCTCCTCCTCCTCCTCCTCCTCCGCTCCCTCCTCCTCATCCCCCTCCTCGAGCTTGACCGAGGCGCCGACCTCGAGTGGGGGGGGGGGGCGCCCGCCTAGCATTGACCTCGGAGGGCCCAGGCGCCCGAGGTGGGGGGGGGCAGCAGAAGCCACAGTCCTTCGTCGTCGTCGTCGTCGTCGTCGTCGCCGTCGTCGTCGTCGTCGCGGCCGTCGTCGTCGTCGTCGTCGTCGTCGTCGTCGTCGTCGTCGTCGTCGCCGTCGCCGTCGCCGTCGCCGTCGCCGTCGCCGTCGGAGACGCCGTCGCCGTCGCCGTCGGCGGCGCCGCCGTCGGCCGCGCATCACCGTCGGCCGCGCACCGCGGAGCCGGCCGCCCCCTCCAGGGCGCCGCGCCTGGGGCCAGCGGCGAGCAGGGCGGGGCGCCGGAGGAGCCCGGGCCGAGGGAGGATCAGGGGCGACGACCCCCGATCGCCCACTGATCGCCGACAGGGGCCCGATAGCCCAGACCTGCCCAGCAGCGTGCGGATTTACTGATTATCGAGGGCCCATCGCCGATCTATCGGCGAGGTCTTGCCGGTTCCAGGTCGATGTTTCCCCCCCTGTGCCAGCCCCCCCGACCGTTCCCTCCTCATCGGAGGGTCGCGCCGCCTCCCCGATGCGCGTCGGCGACGCGGCTCGATGTGGAGCCTGACTTTCGAACCCACATGGCCGACGTCGCCGAAGCATCGCCGACGCCGCCGATGCATCACTGGTGCACCGGCGATGCGGCGCAATCCTTCGAACCCACATGGGGTCTCTACGAAATCGAGACAAAGGTTTTCATAGTGCTCGGCCTCTCGGGGCCCTTGCCAGGCGCGTCGACGTTTCCCCCCCGACCGTTGCCCCCCTCAGAGCAGGGCGGCGCGGGCCACGGCGTGCCCCCCGCGGGGCGGGGAGCGGAAGCCGGCGGGGGGTCTGCTAGCTCGGGCCAGCAGGAAGGGCGGGCCAGGTTCGGCAAGGTTTCTATTGCAAGAGGAGGAGGAGGGGGGAAGGCGGAGGAGCATGATGATGATGATGATGGTGATGGTAATGTTGATAATGATGATGATGATGATGATGATGATGATGATGATGATGATGATGATGATGATGATGATGCTGATGCTGATGCTGATGCTGATGCTGATGCTGATGCTGATGCTGGTGATGGTGATGGTGATGGTGATGGTGATGGTGGTAGTGATGGTGATGGCGTTGATGATGGTGCTGGCGATGCTGATGATAGTGGTGATGATGATGATGGTGGTTGTCATGATGATGATGCTGATGATGATGGTGATGCTGATGATGGTGATGGTGATGGTGATGACGATGCTGATGATGGTGATGATGGTGATGATGCTGATGATGCTGATGATGGTGATGATGATGAAGGTGATGATGATGCTGATGATGATGATGATGATGATGATGATGATGATGATGATGATGATGATGATGATGATGATGATGAGCAGGAAGGGCGCTGGGTTCGACAAGGTTTAGATTGCATGTTTCAGCCTTCGGGGGACGTGTTCGGGCCCCAGGACAGTCGAAAATGGATCGTGGGTGAAGTACTGCACCAGGTGGATCCCGGGAGGGGTCCAGGGACCAACCCCCTCTTCGCCGATTCGTATGTAGGCCTCTTCGATGGGGTCGTTGTAGATGGGGTCGAAGGATGGCTGATGCATCGCCGATGCATCGGCAATGCATTAGCGAAGCGGCTCGATGTGGGCCCAATTGTTCTCCACGCCGACGTCGCCGATGTATCGCCGACGTCGCCAGTGCATGGCCGATGCATCGCCGACGCAGCGGCGATGCATCGCCGATGTGTCGGCGATGCGGCGAGATCCTCCGACCCCATCTACTCGGACTCCGCCTAGGAGGCCTCGATCTTAGGGCCCAGGCAGCTCGGGCCCCCCAGTTCTTAGCGGGTCAGCCCCGAGCTTTGACGGTCTAGTTGTCGTGAAATGTTTGCAGCGGGGGCTCGCGTCAAATTTCAGATCCCGCCGTCCGTTTGGTTCGCGTCACAGGTTCTGTATGAGATCGGCTGTCATGGCCAACACGGGGTCACATAGCCCCGTTGTGTCACGGAGCCAACATGGAGTCACATCAGCCCCGTTGGGCTCCCGAGGGCTCCCCCCGAGGGCTCCCGAGGGCTCCCCCCGAGGGCTCCCGAGAGGAGTCACACAACATGCCCGCCAACGCGGGTCTGTGCCTGCCGCATCTTGGCAACGCTAAGACATGGACGCGGCCATGTGGGTTCGAAGGATTGCGCCGCATCGCCGGTGCACCAGTGATGCATCGGCGGCGTCGGCGATGCTTCGGCGACGTCGGCCATGTGGGTTCGAAAGTCAGGCTCCACATCGAGCCGCATCGACGGTGCATCGGCGATCTGGCGCGATCTTTCGACAAAGTGGACGCAGCCAGATGGTCGGGGGTTGCTGAAGGTGCCCCTGGGCCAAGGTGCCCCAGCTTTGAGCCCCTGGGGGCCCACTGGGCCTCGTGAGGGGCGCTCTGGAGGCCGTGGGGGCCTCCTGGGAGATCCTGGGGGGAACATTGGGCCAGGGGCGCCCCTGGCAGTACCCCGCAGACGGGGTCTCGTCCTTCTCCTGGCGCCCCCGTCAGGGCGGCGAGCCCGGCGGGGCGCCCCGGGAGCCCGGGCCGTGGGAGGAGGGCGGCGCCAGCCAGGACGCGCCCCAGGGCGCGGCAGGGAGGGCCGTCGTCGTCGTCGTCGTCGTCGTCGTCGCCGCCGCCGCCGCCGCCGCCGCCGCCTTCGTCGTCGTCGTCGACGTCACCGTGGTCGTCGTCGACGTCGCCGTGGTCGTCGTCGTCGTTGTCGACGTCGTCGACGTCGCCGTCGTCGTGGTCGTGGTCGTCGCCGTCGTTATCGGCGTCGTCTGAAAGTACCCAGATGTCCGACGATGTGGCCGGTTCCATCCCCGCGTGTGTCCTCGGTTTCGCAACACCACCACCTTCGCCTTCCGGGACTTCGCCCTCGGTTCCTGTCCAAGGCGTCCCTTTTCCTGCACGTCCACTTCGGCACCGCCTGTTCCCCGGGCCCCGCCCGCTCCTGGCCGCCTGAGGCCCCGCCTTCCTGTGCCCTGTCTCCCTAATTAGAGCTGGGCGTAGGCCGCCTAGCTTTCAGCGGAAGAGGTTCGCTCTCGCCCCTCAAATCAAAAAGTGTGTCCTCGGTTTCGGTCTTTGGGGCCCGCTGTGTGGCCCCAGGGCCAGCACGAACGAGCCCAGCTACCCCCCGGGGGAAGGTTCGGCCACGACGCGACCCCTGGCGGGGCGGAGAGGGCCGTCGCCGTCTCCCCTCAGATGTTGGCGGCGCGCAGAAGAAAGCGGCGGCCGGCTCTTCTAGATCTTGTCGGCCTCACACGGCGTGCACCGTCATCGCGGTGTTTTTGGGCCAGAAGCTTGTCGGAGGTCCAGGCGGCCCAGAAGCTTGTTTTTCACCAAAAGGCAAGGCCCAGAAGCTGTCTGAACCTTGTAGACGGTCCAGAAAAGACGTGATCTAGGCAAGCGTGTTGGAGGACATCGATTTCGTTTTTCACCACGAGACAAAAGCCCAGCAGCTTGTCTGGACCTTGTGGACCTTGTCGGCCTTTGCTGGACCGTCGACGCGTTGTTCCCAATCGCGGCGTTTCCATGCCACTTCGACCTCCGCCCGCCGCTGTCGGGCCCTGGGGCAGTCGAAGCATCGCGGCGCTGGCCACGATGCGCCCCTGGCGGGGCGGGAGGTGCGTCGTCGTCGTCGTCGTCGTCGTCGTCGTCGTCGTCCTCTGAGAGTTTTTAGCGCACAGGTCTCTGACGATGCGCGCCCGTTTCCCGCGTGTTGTCCCGATCTCGGGCTCTGGGGCCCCTTCTCCGGTCCGGGGGCCATCAAGCATGGAAGGCCCGGAACGGAGAGCCACCCCCGGGGAGTGGGCCGGGGTCCCTGCTGCGCGTTCAAAGCACCGCATCGTCGAATGCGCCTCAGGCGGGCGAGAGGGCCGCGCCTTCGGAACATCTCGTCCTCGGCAAGGCCGGGGGAAGCCAGCGGACGTAACACAGGAAACGGGACCCACGGAAAGCAGAAGCGCCCGAAGAAGAAGTGAGACCCCGTGCAGGCCCCAGCAGATCTCAGTCTACAGTTGACATTCGAAACTATTTCCAAGTTCGTGGGCAGGGCTCCGAGGGGAGCTAGCTCAGTTGTTTTCATTGATGAGGGCCCGCCGTTACACTAGAGGGTGTTTAGGCGGCCGCTCTCGTAGTGCCATCCCCTCAGAGGAGGGGGTGCTCGAGTGCGGGGCCATGGGTCCCGCGTGCGTGCTCACTCCTCTGGCCCTCTACCTCGTTGTGCTTTGCATTTTTGAGGTTGCGCCGTGCATACGGTTGGTTTTGAGACGGGCCCGACGCTAGACATCCAATCGATGTTTCTAGGGTGTTGCGCTGGTAAAAGGACGTTACACAGCGACGAGTCCGCCAGTGGAAGGCGGCGGCAGTGAGAGTGAGACGTCGAAGTTTTGGGACCCAGGGTTGTGATCGTTTTCTTATTCGTTGTTTTGCCCATTGGCGCGGGCCATCGCACCCCCCACTTCCCCCCCGCCCCTGGAGTAGATCTTTGCTGTTTAGGGCGCCTGTTTCAAGCAGGGCGAGGCTCCCCCATAGGACGCACTAGTGCAAACAGTCGCACTATGCAGAGGTCTGGAGCCAGCCCCCCCACCCTCCCCTGCCCCTCCGCCCAATGTCGAAACGCCGAGTCAGAAAACGTTCAGGTTTCCGGAGTCGGACATGCAAGGCGTGCAGAAAGGGCCTCGCCTTCGGAGCGTCTCGTCCTCGACGGAAGGATGGCGCAAGGCCAGCGGAAGCCGACGGACGTAGAACAGCGGCTGATCCATTGGCGGAAGGCGGCGGAAGGAAACGCGAGACGCTCACATAACATGTTTGGATCCTGGGCTACCGGAGTCGGTCATGTGGCGACGTGTTGCCGAAATTGGTGCCGACCCGCTCCCCTTCATAGAAAAGCCTGGCTGTCGTTCCCCAGGAACCATCATGGAATATCATTGTTTCCCAGCGTGCCGAGCACTGCGAGAAAAGTTGGGAGAGCTGAGCTCGACGGCAGCCAGGACATGGCCGGGCAGGGCAGGGCCTGGCTATGCGTGCAGCTCCGGGCGCCTCGACCACAGGGCGCTTGGCGCTTGCCGCTAGAGGCAGGGCCTGATCTGCCCACTGCTCCGCCGGTGCCCTCTGAAACAGCAGGGGCTCAGGTGATGGCCATGCCGCTGACGGCTTCGCAGCGGCGGCGGCACCGCCTCCATCGGACACCCTCGGCTGGACCATGAACTAACCAGGCACACCACCAGAGAAATTAGAAGACAACGTTAGTCTGAAGACTGGGCCGATCTTGCAAGGGACCGTTTTACGCCTGGCCGTTATGTTGGTGATTGACGGGTCGTTCTACGATGGGCCGCGGTTTCGGCGCATGTCGCCCTTGGCAGAAGGCCAGCTGAAGTAGAATGGCGGCCAGTCCGCCAGCGAAAGCTTGTTGACACTTCTGACGCTGGACGGTTGGGGAAGGAGTTTTGTTGACACGTCTAGCGCTGCAGCTCGGTTGTGTGTTCACGCGTCTGCGCTGGCTTTTGAGTATCAGCGTGAGGGGGCCGCAAGGTCATTCATTGTTCCTGAGTGCGTGATTGAAGTGGGGTTCCTTGGCCTGGATACTTGTTGTTTGTTGTTTGTTGTTTTTTTGCAGTCTCATTACTCAAGAAGAAGTATTGTTAATCCCCCCTCCGGGGTACATTGTGTTTTTCAATGGAAGTGCTTCTCCCAGGGCTCGCACCTTATTTTTACAAGGGAGGGTGAGGTGTCACCAAACTTGGCCCCTGACCCCCGGTTTACGACAACAGCGGCTCCCGCCTGAGACTTCTTCACAATGTGTTCTCAAATCGCGCTCTCGCGCGGGACTTTCTCACAATGTATGCAGAAATCGCGCTCTCGCGTGGGACTTCCTCACAATGTACTCAGACGCCGCGCCCTCGACACTCAGGAATCACGCTCTCGCCATGGATGCCCTCACGAATTATTTGGGAATCGCGCTGTCGCTGGAGACTTCCTCTCGATTCATGCAGGACGCACGCTTCAGGAAGCCGACGGCTCGACCTGGCCGCCTGGGCCCGCCTTCCCGACCCGCCCGTTGGGGTCTACCCACCCGATGAGCGCCCGTCTGGTTCTGCCACGAGTTTTCCGCTCGTAGCCCCCTCCTGCTACTACTCGTGCTCCATCCTCCTCATCCCCCTTGTCCCTTCCTTCCATCCGTCCTCTCTTCCCCTGCCTTCGGGGGCTGCGCGAAAAACACGTTGCAGGTCATAAAGATGTACCCCAAGGGGGTACGATCGAAGACGAAGAGTGCGGGTCCCGAGGGTTTGGGATACCCGTGTTGAATGGCACGCGAGCAGATAAGTAGCGAACAGACTTAAAATGGTTGTTGTCGTCGTCGTCGTCCTCCTCCTCCTCCTCCTCCTCCTCCTCCTCCTCGCCCGCGACCCAACCCGCGACTCACCCGCGACCCACCCGCGACGCACCCCGCGGCACATCCGCGACCCAACTGAGACACATCCCGCGCCCGATCCCTCCACTCTTGTCCGCAACTGTGGGGTGCTACATATTATGCGTTTGTGCGCTCAGAGTCAGATTTGTGACGCTAAGGACTTGAAGGAGGAGCCAGTGAAGCAGGAGGGCTTGCAGGACGAAAAGCAGCAGGAGTGCCGCTAGGCTGCACTTTTAAGTGCCGCATGTCGTTTCGTCTGCTGTGCACGGGCACCTGTTCGCGACGCTGGGGCACGAAGGAGGTGTCCCAGGCGCTGAAATGAGGACCACTGTGGGCTCCGGAAGGGCTCTGATGTCTGGGTCGTTGCGTAGATTTGGGTCTGAGAACCTATTCATGGCCGAGGCTCGCCGTGGCTATAAAAACCCCCATGTTCCTTATTTGGCTTTCCTAATGGCAGTGTGTTGACTGTAGCACATGTGTGGTGCCCTTCAGGCTGGGTGTCATACGACAAGTTGCCATGCATCCAACAACGATGAGCCAAGCATGTGGTCTTCCCTGTCACCCTTGTATTTTGATGTAAAGTGTTCTGCGCCGCCTCCATGGAAAGGGCATGTCTCCCTCTCGGCCATGGTCTCGGGCTGCTGAAGATAATCCTCTCTGACCTTCGGTCAACGCATCGCCCAGTTGTCACACCAGCAGGTGCTTCTATACTGCTGCCACTAGATGCCCACTCTTTCCTTCCCGCGCGCAGGATTGCCAAGCGGCACACGAGAGGCCGCTGGCCACTTGCACCCGCCCTCGACGTGCTTCCAGGCGCTAGAAAACGATATGTTGAAGTCCAGTGCCAGGGCTTCAGGAGAAGGGAGGCGTCTGAGGGGCTTCCCCGGGGATCTCGTAGCTCTATGCTCTTTTTGAAAAGCTTTGGTCGCCTCTTGTGAGAACCCCATGACGACATGATTGACATTGTTTGCTGTCCGATTTCTGGGAGTTTTACAAGATGGTGCCTGACAGTACGAGGATGCTGTCCTTCTGAGCTGTGTTTGCTTACCAGCATTGGAACAGTCATGCCGGCATACCAGACCCTTCTGTTCTGTTTTGTCTCTTGGCGATCCCATCCCCGCACGCCACCATCAATACGCAAGCTCGCCACAGCATTGTGTGCTTGCAAATGCGTCACCTACTTCTTCCAAGCGAGCGAACCAGCTGGGCACGCTGGTTGCTCGGAAGGCCGAAGGGACAGGGGAAGCTTAGGAAAGAGGCGAAGCAAGCGAGGACCGCATCGGTTGCTCGCAGACAGTTTGCGGGAGAGTTGCGAGCGAATCTTGAGGGGTGCCAGTGCCAGCATGCCACAGTGGCGGAGTTGCGTAAGGGTGTACTTTCAAGAATTGCATCTGCAAGTTAAGGCGGACGCAAATTGGGCAGAGCAGGACACCCAGCAGAGCAGCGATGGCAGCTTAGGCCATGTTATGGCGGACGAGACTACTGACACAAACTATGTTGTAGCGGCCAAGGCAGACAATCCAGGAAGGCATGAGGGATCGGATGATGTGGAGAAACAGCCGCAGTGACACCAGCGACGGAGCAATACCACACTTGCGGGGTATTCATTGTTGGAGCAGCACGTTGGGCAGGAGGAGTGGCACTTGTATGGCGGACATGTGGATGGTGTAGAATAGCAGTTGTTGCAGAACGCAAGCCATGTCAAAGGGGAAGTGCTATACTTGAGTCCGCAGCTAAGCAGCGATGGTGCGATAATGTGAACTTGAGTGTGCGCGCGGAAACGAATGTCACAGTGGGCACGGCGTACAGTTGCCATGTGGCGGTCCGGATGGCCGTACATGCACGTGTTGCCCCAAACAAATGTCGATCTTCCATTTCACAGTTGTCCTTGGAATTCAACGTGTTGCCGCGAGGAGGGCTGCGACGGAAGCGAGGCTTCAGGAGCTCGCCAAGGCCAGAGTGTGTAGCGCTCGCGATCCTTGCTAGCGTTGCGCGTTGTGTTTTGGGTTTTGGGAGGGGCACGCTCTCTCCATGTACTAGGGGCAATCGAGATTTCATAATCCATCTCGCTGTAATGGCTAAGCCAGGCTGCATCGACATGCCATTTTGGAACGTGCGGACCGTGGCGCTCTCCATCCCGGAAGCCGGCGGATTGGTAGCCCACGCAGGAACGCCGTGGAAAATGCAGAAGGGTAGCCCACGCAGGAAGACGCTTTTGACACCAATCGCGCCATGTTGCTTTGAGAGTGCTCTGGTATTGTGTGCACGTGGGCTCAGACGTCTTTCGAAACGGTCAGGGCGTTTTTTGTTCGCTGTGATGTTGGGCGTTTCGAATCCGTTTTCGGTTCCTTTTGGTTCTTGTATTTCGTGAAAATCAACAGCGTTTTTTTGTCAGTTTTCGTTGCCGTTTTCGTGTCGTTGTTTTTTTCCGTTTTCGGCGTGGCGCTTTTTTGTTCCCATTTTCGTCTCTCCCTAAATGGCTAATCGTGTCGCGCAGGCGACCGGCGACCGAGGGGCCGCTCACATCTCTCAGTCGTTTTCGGAGGAGGCGCCCGGGGTGGAAGAGGCGCTACCGTCTTCGAGGGGCAAGCTCTTTGATGGCCGTCCTGGTCACGCTTTGTTTGGTGTTGGTGTGCGCCGCCATCCCGAGCCCACGGGCCTTGCGCACCCTTGGCTGAGACGGCTGCGTCGGGGGGGGTGAGTCAGCCGTTTTTTTTTTTTTCCGTTGTCAGCTCCCCGTGGCTCCCCCCCCGCCCGCTCCGTTTTTTTATATCAGTTTTCAATACATTTCTGGTACGTTTTCAGCTCACGTGCAGACCGCCCCCCCCCAAACTCTTTTGTGTTGCCCCCTGCCCCCGACGCAGCCGTCTCGTCTAAGGGTGCCTGCCAGCAGGGCCCGTGGGCTCGGGATGACGGCGCGCACCAAGCAAAGCGTGACCAGGACGGCCATCAAAGAGTTGCCCGCCCCCTGAAAAGAAAATCATTATTCCATTCTGTATTTAGGAGTGGATGCGAGTGGATGGCGAGACTCATCAAACGTGCCATCAACAAGCGTGCCATAGGCAAGCATGCGCCCCCGCAGCCCAGTCCTGCGAACGCTGCCGAAACTCTGGCCGCGGACTCGGGCAAAATGGAAAGCAATCCGCTGTTTTCGTTTCCGTTTCGGGGGCCTCGAAAGGTTCTGGAGGGCGCCGTTTTCAGTTGCGGCTTTTCTCCGTTTTCGCTCTGCCGCGGCGCCGTTTTTTTTCCGTTTCCGAGCATCGTCGTGTTAGTCCCATTGTCAATGTTCCAAGAGCGGAAAACGAAAACGGTAAAAACGCCCTGGCCGTTTTGAGAGACAACTAAGCACGTGCATTCAAGGATGGAGAATGCACATACCGCGGATGTCCCGAACATGTAAAATTTGTCGGCTGTCGGGGGCACAGCTACAGGGCCGCTGAAGACGGAAGAAGGAGCCCTCTTCGTTGGAGAGATATCCAGTGCTCCTTAATTGTTTTACCCTTTGTCTTGGGTGTTCCTTAGGTTTTCATTGGGAAGCCGAAGTTTAACGTATGGACAAAGGGGGCGTCGTTCCTTATTGAGGATTCCTTATGGCAGCGTTTCGACTGTAACCGCATCCTGGCGCAACTGGGGCCACAGAGGGTCCTCGTCCCTGTTCAGCCTCCCCCCCCCCCCCCCGCGACGCCCGAGGTCGGCGAGGAGGACACCCTCCAGGAAGGGCGGCGCATGGCGAAGAGGTCGAGGGCTCGGGGGGGGCAGCCAAGCTCCCTGACCTCCTTTCTCTGCGAGAGGGGCCCGAGGTGGGTTTTTTGGACGTCTCGTCGGTTACTGGCGGCGTTCCAGCCTCGGGATGCTTTTCAGCAGCTGCGCCTCGCCGTGGGCGTTCTGGGGGTGCCTGGATCGTTTCGCTCGGACGACCGCTGGAGACCCGAGATGTGACCCGAAAGCCTGACCCCCAATTTTCGTCTCCGGGGGGGGGCCTTCTCAGGCCCTCGGGGCAGTCAAGACACGATGGGTGAAAAGATCTCGACGTCGGAGGTTTGAGGACGACGACCTCTTCCTCCTCCTCCTCCTCCTCCTCCTCCTCCTCCTCCTCCTGCTCCTCCTCCTTTGTCGCCTCCTCCTCACCCGTCCCCTCCCCTCCCTCCTCCCCCTCCCCCTCCCCCCGCGCGCGCGGGGAGAAGTAGGCGGATGGGGAGGAAGAGGAGGAAGGTGGAAGAGGAGGAAAACGAGGAAGAGAAACATGGAGAGGAGGGGGAGGAAGAGGAGCAGGAGGAGGAGCAGGAGCAGGGGGAGGAGCAGGACGAGGAAGAGGAAGATCAGGAAACAGAGGAGGAGGGCGGAGGACGGAGGAGGAGGACGGAGGGGGGGCCAGAGCGAAGGCCGCAGTGAGGCCTCCGACTGGCCGCATTGCCGAGGGGGGGGGGCGAGCGCACGCGGCGCCCGCGTCGGGCCCCGCGAGAGGGCGGGGGGCATCAGGGGCGCGCGGGCGCCCCAGGGGGTGTCGGAGGGGCGGGCGCCCCGTGGGGGGGTGCTCGGGGGGCTCCGGGGGCGGCCGAGAGGGGGGGGGATGACTGCGGGGGGGGGGGATATGTCATGGCGTGGGCCATGGTAGTTCCCCAGATCTCCTGGCGCCTCTTCCTATCCCATTACGTCCCTGCCCCCCCTCCCCACCCTGGGCCGCGCACATGCCGCCGGCCATGATCTGTGCCCCCCCCCCCTTCTCTTGGACGCCCCGCTCTTGGCCACTCCCGAAGGGCTCCGGGAGCAGAGCTTCCGAGACCGGGACTTCTGCATGACCACCGCCTGGGGGGTCGATCTTGATGTGTGATGCGGTGGAGGCGTTTGATAAAAGGAAGCTTCGCTTCCAGACGGGACCCTCGCACATTCTTTTTGTTGTGAGGGTTGGAGGGCGCGGTTCAGGGTCCGAGGGAATCATTTGAGTCATGATGGGCGCAAGCCCTGTTGTCCAGGGTCTCGGCCATTCCTGCAAAAATCAAGGAGCTTCGCCGATTCGGGCCTCCGCGTCCCTCAACAATGACATCCTGATTTCAAGCCTCCACTGTAACAGTATCCGCAACCGCTCTCATCCATAACCACTTCTTCATGACCAGCTATCCATCTGGATCGAGGCCGGAACTTATCCGTGAGCGCGTATCCATGACAGGCAGCCGGTGGGTGTGGATGTGCCTGGGCCCTGGGATGGGGGGGGGGCCAGCGCCTGCCCAGGTCCCCGAGCTTGCCCGAGCCTCCACGTCCCCGCGGGGCGCAGCGGTCACGGCGTGTCGCCGGGGCCGCCGGCGCGACACGCCACGCTTAAGTCGGGCATGGCCCTCTAGAGGAATATCCAAACATGTTGCAGAAATAGTCAGGGGACGATATGTCTAGCATTTTGTTTTGCATGTTTGGTGCACTTTTTGACTATCTTCAATTTTTCCGTCCAAAACCCGCCTGTAGGAGGACACGCCCGACCTAACGCTATGCAAAAGCGTCTGCCCGTGAGGGGAGGGACCAGAGCAAGCGCGGCACTCCTGTGCTGCTGCTGCTGCTGCTGTGCGCCCTGTCGCCCCAGAGGTCTGCTCCTCGAGGGCCGGCGCGCGCCCTCTTTGCCGCGACGCCTCCCGCTCCGCATCTCGGCATCACCCAAACATACTGCGCGGCGGCGGGCCCGGCGACACGCTATGCTCTGCAAGCGGACGTAGCGTGCCGCCCCGCTCCGCGGGGCGGGAGGTCGGGAAAAGCTCGGGGCGCCGACGTTGGGGGTGACCAGGAAGCGGACAGCGTGTCGCGCCGAGGCGTGGCGGGCCAGGAATTGGCGGCGCGACGCGCCGGCCAGGGCTCCTGGCCGTATGCCACCGTGCTTGCGCCGGCCCACCAGGGGGCGACGCGCGCGCTCAGAGATCTGATAGTATATTCAGGAGGGAAAAAAACACACAGACACAATTAATTTGCGATTCCCAGAAAATATGGGAAAATATGGGAAGTGGGGGGGAAGACAAAAACCCAGAAAATATGGGAAAATATGGGGAATCATTTTAATTGTGTGTATTTATTTGTGTGTCCCAGTTTCCCTTCATATATGCTCGGTGGCGGGCGCTTCCTGGCCATACCGAGCGGGTAAACCTGTACTACACGATGGTCGTGTTGGATGTTTCGTTCGGACGTGCGCCTCCCAGGGGGGCGCCTTTGCCCTATCGTGTCCTCCAAGCAGTGGCGAAGCGTCCGGGCTCGCCGACAGGCCTACCAAAGGATGGTCTAAGAACCTTTTTTTGTGGTTTCCACGAGATGTTCTTAGAACATGTCTGGCTGGGACCGTCTTGGTTTAACACATCGGGTTTATGTTCCAAGAACTTTGTTCTTGTTATTGGAAGATTTCTGGGTTCTAAGAACATGTCGAGGTAGGCTTATAGGAATGCTGGGACGGTCAGTCCCTGCTCAAGTCCGTCTGTTGCCCATCACCCTCCAGCACCTTGCCCTTGCGCTCGGGCGCGACCGCGAGCGCCCGAGAGCTGCATGCTGCCAGAAGCCGAGGTGGCGGGAGGAGCTGGCGAAGGCGGCTCCGCAGCCTGTGGACGACTCTCAGCTGGACGCGGCGGGGCGGGGGTCCATGAAGGCAACAGGTCCTGACAGAGACGGGCTCTGGAGGTTTCTGGCCGTTTTTGCGCTTCCGGCGGTCATCCTTGGGCGTTGGGACTGTCAAGTTGGGCTCCAGTACTGTCAGAAGATGACTCGGGGGGTTGGGAGGAGCTTTGCTGGAGGCCGTCAGGGGAGCAGGAGGAAGAGAGGGGAGGCAGGAGGACAGGGGGAGAAGGGGGGGATGGAGGAGGAGGGGGAGGACGGGAAGTGGAGGGGGGGATGGAGTAGGAGGAGGGGGAGAACGGAGGAGGAGGAGGAGGAGGAGGAGGAGGAGGAGGACGACGACAGGAAATGGAGGAGGAAGGAGGAGGAGGAGGAGGAGGAGGAGAAGGAGAAGGATGAGGAGGCAGGAGAGCGGGGTGAGAACGGATGTGGATGGAAGGATGTCGGCGGCGAGCGAGGGGGGGAAGTGAGAAGGAGAAGGCCTTCTGAGAAGGCGGCGGGGCTTCCCAAAAGCCTTCCGGCCTTCTGAGAGGATTTCTCCGTCTTCGGAGGAGGGTCTAGAAAACCTCTTAGAAGGCCGGGGGGCTTCCGAGCCTCCTGAGAAGGCCCGCCCCGTTTCACTTCCACCCCTGGCTCGCCGCCGAAAGGGGGGAGAGGTGGATGACAAAATGTCGCGGGACGGGATGGCGATGAAGAGGAGGGAACGGAAGGGGGGGGAAACGAAGGAGAGAGGCAGATGCGCGGAAGAAGCAGAGTCAGCCAGGGAGGGGGACGAAGTCACCTAGAGTTTTCAAACATGCACGCACGTTGCGTGTACATGATTCTACATGGAGTATGTGAATGCGTATGTTGAGGCATCTGTTCGTACACACGTAATTTTGGACATGCTATATTAATATAGGTTTACAGGAAGGCTGGTACACATATAAATAGATGGAGAGAGAGAGAGAGAGCGATAGAGAAGCACGACAGAGCGAGAGCGGCAGAGAGACAGAGCGAGAGAGAGAGAGGGAGAGACAGAGAGAGAGAGGGAGAGAGTCAGAGAGAGAGAGATGTAGAGACAGAAACCGAGGCAGAGACTGACAAAGAGAGCCAGACAGAGAGGGAGCGAGAGAGCGAGAGCACGAGAGAGTCAGAGAGAGGGGGGGGGATGGCCTTCACCTGGAACACGCGCGCGCGCGTCGAAGGACACGGAGGGCAACAGCATCCCCAGCTGGTGGCGCACCACCACGCGGCGCCAGCGGCCGGCTGCTGGCTTCGGGCCCGCCCCGCGGCTGGTGCTGCTGCCGCCCCGGGCCGATGCTCCTCGCCGCTCGCCAGCAGAGATATCCAGATCACGGTCAGGGATGGCTCAGCGAGTCTCGGCCAGGCGTCGACGTCCGGAGCCTCCCCCGAGCACCCCCCCCCGCGGAGTGGAGCGACACGCTGCATCCGCTTGCAGGGCACAGCGTGTCGCCGGGGCCGCCGTGGTGGCACGCAGACCGGAAGCTCCCGCCCGTGGATGGAAGTCGAAGAGGCACCCGTAGCTCGGCGGCGAGCCCGGGGGGGAGGTGAGGAGTGGCGGGCCTTCTCAGAAGGCTCGGAAGTCCCCCGGCCTTCCAGGAAGTTTTCGGAGCTTTCCCCGAAGACACCGATAACTTCTCAGGAGGCGCGAGGGCTTCCGAGAAGTCCCGCCGTCTTCTGAGAAGGGGCTTCCACTGCGAAGAAAGTTGCCATCCCAGACCGGCACTTGACGGTCGTGGGGTGAGGAGCGGAGGGATGGGAGGCCGAACGCCGAGGAAAACCTCTCCCATATGAGTCTTGGACGACCCTGTTCGGCCCTGCGCCGACGCGGCGCGAACCTACTGTGAAATACTCGGCGGCGAACGAGGGGGGGGGAAGTGAGAAGGAGAAGGCCTTCTCAGAAGGCGACGGGACTTCTCGGAAGCCCTCGCGCATCCTGAGAAGTTGTCGATGTCTTCGGGGAAGGCTTAGAAGACTTCTCGGAAGGCCGGGGGACTTCCGAGCCTTCTGAGAAGGCCCGCCATTTCTCACTTCCCCCCCAGGCTCGCCGCGGATCCAGAACCGATTCTTCATCCTGCGGCAGTCATTCGGCACAGCCCCATGAGCCTGGTGGGAGCCCCCAGCAGGCGTGAAGCGAGCAAGAAGCATGCCGTCGCGGTTGTTGGCTCAGGACGCGAGAGGGGTCTGGGCCTGGGCCCGGGCGAACCATCTATGGGGTGCGTTCCGACCAGGGCTTCGAGGGTAACCCTCAGTTGAGCGGAAGATCGGGACAAATCGGAACCAGAGATTCTGGGAGAGTTCCAGAGAAAAATAGAACGCCGATTTGTGGAGCGTAGCGCGCGCATTCGCAGAAGTTCCCAAAGAGTGTTCGAGGGCTTGCGGGGCCCAAGTAACACATGGGCGCTCAATTAAACTGTTGAGGGCGGGCGTCACGGGCGGGTTACCCGCCCGTGACGCCACAGTCGGCGACTACAAAAGGTATGATTACGCCGGGGTGTGGCTTGCGATCGGCACCGTTGGGGCCTGGGGGGCACGGCACTGTCCTCGTCGGGCCTCCCCGGGGCGCGGGAGAACTCTATCGAGGTCCCCGCGCGCCACCTGGGGTGCCCCCCAGGATGTCCCCCAGGCTGCTGCTTGCAAACCGCCCCCTCCTCCTCCTCCTCCTCCTCCTCCTCCTCCTCCTCCTCCTCCTCCTCCTCTGCAAACCACCCCGCCTGGAGTCGCCGAGGAGGGGCCTCTCCCCGAGGCCCAAGGAGTCGATCGGAGCCGCCATGGCGCCCTGCGAGAGATCCTCGCAGGGCGGGCGGCGGCGGCCCTGCCGCGCCCGGCGCGAGGGCGCGGCCGCAGCCCACCGCCCAGCGCTCTCGGCCCGTCCCCCCCCCGCTCTTTCGGCGTACTCCTCCTCCTCCTCCTCCTCCTCCTCCTCCTCCTCCTCCTCCTCCTCCTCCTCCTCCTCCTCCTCCCCCCCGCTCTTTCGGCGTACACCTTAGGCGATGCTCAAGAAAACTTCAGTTGTTGGCCAGAGTCTCGATTATTCTTAACGTTTCAATGTAGATCCTAAGATTTGGATGGGAATGATGGGTTTTGTATTCAGGTTCTGAGACTATGAATTTCTTAACCCATGATTTCTTAAGCATTTCGCAGGGTGTACTCCCAGGTCCAAGCCCGGCCGGTCCCTCTGCAGGAGGACTGCTCAAAAGTAGCCCAGCAATGGTCTGGGGACGATGCTTCGACTGTGTTTGATCCTGTTGCTTGTATGTGTTGAGTGTCTTTTTTTTTCGCCTGCGGCCCCGCCCGCCCGCGCCCTGTCCCCCTAATCAGGGCTACCCGCGTCCCGTTTAGCTCTTGACCGGAAGGGGCCCGCTCCCGACCCACAGACCAAAAAGGTGTTGAGTCTTTTTCGCATTGCTCCTTCAAAAAATCCGCCTCTAGGAGGACACGCCCGACCTCATCCCGGATCTTCGACGGCATATGCTGTGCGCGAACGCAGCGTCTGTCCTCGGCTTCGGCCCTGGGGACCCGCTCCCGGCCAGGGGAGCAGCAAGCATCGATCCAGGACGCGTTGTCTCTTTCGGAAGGGTTAAGTCGGGCTCGTCCCTCTAAAGGAAGAATATTCAAAAATAGTCCAAAAATATTGCGGGACTCTTTTCTTAGCATTTTTTGACCATTTGGGCGCACTTCTTTTGTATGTCTTATTTTTCGTCGAAAATCCCGGGAAGGGAGGGGTCGGGAGGATCTGGGGCCGCGGAGTGAGAGGAAAGAAAAGTAGACCGGAGGGTGTCTGGGCTCGCGCCCTGGCCCGCCCATCCCCTGTGCTCGTGAGTCGGGCAGGTCCCTCTACAGGAGGAGTATCCCAAAATAGTCAGCAGATCGTATGGGGGCGATTTTCTGATTATTTTTGGATGAAAATAGTCAGAAAAATCGTATGGGGACGAAAAATAGTCAGAAAATCGTAGGAGGAGTATCCAAAAATAGTCAGAAAATCCAAAAATAGTCAGAAAATGTTTACCATTTCCATGCGTGTTTCATTATTTGCTTGTTTGCCGTCCAAGATCCGCCTGTGGGGGGACATGCCCGCCCATCCCCTCAATCCCCAAACCCTCTCGAGTTGTGACGCACGGGCGTTTCTGTGTTTTGCCATCTTCGGCCTCGCCAGGGCCCTCACGAGACCCACGGGCCCGTCAAACAAATGTTTTGGAGGAAGGGCTGGGGGCCCAAGCTTGGAACAAATCACGACGTCGGAGATTGGGGCTCGTCCGTCTTACAGTAGGCACGTCAAATACGAAACCAGCCTGCCAGCAGGTGCCCCACGGAGATGTCTTACCCCCCAGTGGCTGTGGGGACCCGCAGAAGACGGGGGACACCCTGGGAAGTCAGAAAATTGGCGACACGTGTGGCCCTAGACGTCTTGGAGCAGTATTTCTCGTGCTTGCCAGCTTGGACCCCGAACAGTGCGTTATTGTACCATGGATGCGGTATATATATATATATATATATATATATATATATATATATGTATACACATATGTGTATACAAATATGTGTGGCGCAATCTCTTTGTGGAGACTCACGTGGTGCCATCTGTGCTATGCAGGTTCTATGGTGCTACATATACGTGTCACAAACTAACTGCGGTGCAGACCATGTGCTGCAATCTTTGTGGGGCAGGCTATCGGGTGCGATGTGCGTGGAGCACGGCCTGCTGTGCAATCCGAGAGGTGCAGGCGGTGTGCTACAAGCTGCAGTGCACCGCACATAGGGGCGCCCACGGGCGCCCACCTGGGCGACCCAGCCAGCACACTGGGTGCCCGCGAGGCGCCCACAAGACGAGGCCTCGGCGGACGCAGCCAGCGCCCACGAGGCGCCCTCCTCCCTTCTCCCTCCTCCCTCCTCCCTCCTCCCTCCTCCCTCCGCCCTCCGCCCTCCGCCCTCCTCCTCCTCCCTCCTCCTCCTCCTCCCTCCTCCTCCTCCTCCTCCTCCTCCTCCTCCTCCCAGGCATCTGTCAGCAAGCAAGCACCCCCCTAAGTGCAAGCACACGGGCAAGGCTGTACTGTCTGACGGGCGGGGAGTGGCACGCCAGATGTGCCTTGGCAGGAGGGTGAAGAAGCGGCAAGGACGCCACGGACAACACACGCCCTGCATGCTTCAGGGTCTTGCAGGCCGAACTCCTATCACTGAGCGGGTCATGCCACCAGAATGCGATTTGCGCGTGCCTACTGCTGCACTGCCTGCCCACCTCATCCCTCGGCGGCGGGAAGGAGGGCCACAGCCGTGGCGGCGGCGCCAGACCTCCGCGCCCTCCGCGGCCGCGCGAAGCGGAGCGATGCGCGGCGCGGGCGCCTGCCGCCACTCCTGCGCCTGCGCTGCAGCCGCACCGACTCCGCCCCGCCTGGGCGGCGCTGCCCTCCGTGGCATGCTTTGGTGGCGTCGGCCCACGAAGGTCGTCGATCACTTCTCCGGAGGCCGGTTCTCCCGTCTCCCAGACCATCCGCGACTAGAAATTTTCAGTAGCGAGGTCCGGTGGCGCCGCCAAATTTCGGTCGCGACGGGAGGGGGTTGAGTTTCGGTAGCAAGGGGACGGCGCGTCGGGGTCCAAGCGAGGGTTTCGAGGACGCCGACGGCTCGCTCGTCACCGGAATTCGCAGCCAGAGGCTGGACCAGTTCGTCCAGAGCTTTACCAGAAATATGCGCATAAGGGTTGACATCGGGTCCCAGGGCCGGGAAGCCAGGGCATGCATGTCCTACAGATGACGCAGAGCGCCGCCCTGCTAGTCGCGTCGCTTGGATCAATGGGGCGCCTGCGATCGGCGGCGGCGGCGGCGCCTGCGACGGCGGCGGGTGGCGGCCGGCGCGGCAATGGCGACGGCGGCGGGCGGCGCCCAGGCCCTCCGATGTTGCAGTTTCTTTTTGGTGTCGCAGTCTTTGCACAACGCGCGATTTTGCCCCAGGACCCTGGCGGATCGATCCGGCTCGAAGATATTGCATGTTTTCCGTGACGTCGGACCTCAGGGTCTGTTCCTGACCGTCCACTTCCCCTGTGGCTTCGACCACTTCCCCGAGGGCGGACTCTTCGCCACGGGGCTGGGAAAGCCGGAACCCGGGAGACGACGAAAAGCTTGCCGACAGTGCCCCAGCAGGACTCTGCAAACCAGAAATATTCTGAGTACCCTGAGTACCTCAACATCAAGCAGTGGCGAAGCGTCCTGGCTCGCCTATAGGCCCACCAAAGAAAGTTCTAAGAACCTTTGGCGGATTGGACGAAATGTTCTTCGAACATTTCTGGCTGAGTCTGTTTTGTTTTAACACATCGAGCTTATGTTCTAAGAACATTGTTTTCGTTCTTAGAACATTTCTGGGTTCTAAGAACATGTCGTGGTAGGCCTATAGAAGAAATGCCGGGACGGTCGGTCCCGGCTCAATCACAGTTTTGGGACTACAAGGGCCCCTCCCCTGGAATACAAGACCCCCCCCCGCCCGGACTACGGGGACCCCCTCACGGATTACAAGGACCCCCCCTGGACTACGAGGGCCCTGCCCACGGACTACAAGGACCCCCCCAGACTACAAGGGCCCACGCCCGGACTTCAGGCACGAGAAACCACGAAGATCAACGCATCACCCCCCGGACTACAGGACCCCTCCCAGATCCAGGCTACAAGGACCCCCCCGGACTACAAGGGCCCCACCCTGATTTACAAGGGCCCCCTTCCCCGGACTGCAGGGACTCCCCTGGACTACAGGGCCTCCCCCCTGGACTACAGGGCCCCCCTGGACTATTGGTCCCACCGAAATTATTCTGGTGAGTATTGAAAAGCTCCGCCTGGAGGGAACGAAGAGTGGAGCATGTCTCGACCGACGGCCGCAGTCATCTCGGGCGTGTCGACGTCCTGAGTTGTCAAAGTCCCTGTTTAGGGGGCCCTGATGCCGTCCCGATTGTTGCGCGCCGCCCCGATATGAGGCGCGACCTCAGACATCCGGCGCTCCATTTTTACCCCCAGGTGTCTGGACCACTTCCCTGGGACCGACTTGCCATCTCTCGAGCCGTTCTTCGACGGTCCCGAGGCCTGGTAAGGGCCCCCAGAGGCCGAAACTTGCAGCAGCAACAACAACAATCATCTTAACGCTGTTCGCTCTTATCTGCTCGCGTCCCGCTCAACACGTATATTCCAAACCCTCGATACCCGCCCTCTTCGTCTTCGATCGCTCACTTGGGGATATCTGCCTTACCTTCAACGTGTATTTCGTGCAGTCCCTGAGGCAGGGGAAGAGATGACGGATGGAACGGAGGGACAATGGGGAGAGAGGCGGATGGAGCACGAGAGAGACTAGGAGGAGGCGGGCTAGGAGCAGAAAATACGTGGCAGAACCAGACGGGCAGATCGGGCGGGAAGATTCGACCAGGTGGGTCGGGAAGGGGGGCCCAGGCGGCAAGGTCGAGCAGGCGGGTTGCTGAAGCGTGCGTGCTGCGTGAATCGCGAGGTAGTCTCGAGCGACAGCTCGATTCCCAAATCAATCGTAAGGAAATCTGCAGCGAGAGCGTGACTCCTAAACGTCGACGGCGCGGCGTCAGAGTACATTGCGAGGAAGTCCCACGCGAGAGCGCAATTTCTGAATAAATTGTTAGGAAGTCCCGCACGAGAGCGCGATTCGGGAATACATTGTGAGGAAATATCAGGCGGTAGCCGTTGTTGTTGTAGTTCGGGGGCCGACAACGCAGTTTGAGGAATAATATTTCCCTTGGTAGAAAAACAAGGTGCGATCCTTGGGAAGGGCACTTCAATTGAAACACAGATGTTACTGGGGGGATCAACAATAATTATTCTTCAGCAGTGAGAGTTCAACACCAAAAGAAACACCAACTGCAACAGCAGCACCAACAACAACAACACCAGCGACACCAAGAACAGCAGCAACATCAACAGCGGCAGCAACAGCAACAGCAGCAGCAAGAACAACAACAAAACAGCCGTTCCTCATGACCTGAGAGGGTACTTAGGTCTTTGCGAGAGTTGCGCGTCACCCGGATCTGCTGTGCGCCCCACGTCGGCACGCGGACTGGGGGGTCAAAGATCCAATCCCCCGATTTGCTCTGATGGTCGTCCCGGCCAGGATCTGTTTCAAGGCGGATCCGGCCGTGGAGACGAGGGTGCCCCAGCGAATCCCACAAAGGACGAGACACCTAACAAGCCCCCTCATCGGCCAGGGTGCTGAAAAAAGACACTCCAAACCCAGATACCTATCTGGCTTGCTTAAAAACCTCGGCTGGAATTGGGGTATCTAGGTCAGGTTGTCTTTTTGTGGCCCTCCGGGAAGGTCGGGGCTCAAGCCTCGTTGCTTCGCCTTCGCCTTCAGGGCCCCGGTGGGGGGAGGCGGGCCGGCGGCGGCAGGCCCGACGAGGGGGGCCTGCCGCCGGGCGACAGCGCCCGCGGCGGCGGCGGCGGCGGCTGCGACGGCAGCTGCGGCCACAGCCGCGGGGCGGCGGCGGCGGGCGACGCCGGCGGGATGCGGTTGGCGCGACCGCGCCCACCGTGCCTGCCGCTAGGTCGGGCATGTCCCCTGCACAGGCGGATACGAGAGGAAAAGTGCAAAGTAGCCAAAACATGCTCCAACAGAGTTTAAACATGTGCAAGAAATCGTCCCGTGATTTGTTCCCAGCCATCCTGTGGTGTTGGGTCCTCGTTTTGAAGAGACGGCCGCCGCGTCCCTCCTCCCTCCTTCTTTCCTCCCCCTCCTCCCCCTCCTCCCTGCGTTTCACCCACCCAGTATAGCGTTTCGTGGCCCCATGGGGAGCTCCACCGAAGCCTCCAGTGGGACCGCCCGCATGCGTCCCACACGCCCAATTTGGCATTGTCACCCACCCAGTGCAGCGCTTCGTGGCTCCATAGGGAGCTCCACCGAAGCCCCCAGTGGGACCGCCCGCATGCGTCCCACACGCCCAATTTGGCATTGTCACCCACCCAGTGCAGCGCTTCGTGGCTCCATAGGGAGCTCCACCGAAGCCCCCAGTGGGACCGCCCGCATGCGTTCGCCCCCACCCAGTGCAGCGCTTCGTGGCCCCATAGGGAGCTTCACCGAAGAAGATACTCACAATTGCTGTACCCACAACCGCCATATGGTCGGGTCCTTCGCCAGGATGATTTTTTCTATTTTTGAATTCTCTTCCTGTAGAGGGGCACGCCCGACTGAAGCCTGCCGTGCCTGCAGCCATGCGGTCGTCGTCGTCGTCGGTCGGTCGGTGGGTCGGTCGGTGGATCGGTCGGTCGTCGTCAGTCGGTCGGTCGGTCGTCGTCAGTCGGTCGGTCGTCGTCGTCGTCTGTCGCTCTCGTTGTCTGTCGTCCGCCGTCGTTTGTCGTCGATGGTCCGCCGTCCAGGGGGACGAAGGATGGCATAAACATAAAAGCTCGGAGGTCCGCGCGGATTTCTCGGATCGGCGCTGGCCCCCCCCCCCCCTGGCGCGCGCAGCGCGCCTGGGGCGGCGCCAGAGGCGCCGCCAGGGGGGCCCAGCGCGGATCCGAGAGATCCGCCCGGACCTCCGAGCTGTTACGTTTACGCCATCCTTCTCTCCCCCTGATTATTGCCGTCGAGGTCTCCCTATCGTCGTCGTCCTTCTCTCCCCCATTGTCGTCGAGGTCTCCCTCAACATCGGTTGCCGTGGTCGCCCGCCGCTCCGCACCGCGCCATGCGGCCGGCGAGGCCGCGCACCGCGCGGGCCGCGGCCCCGGCGCCGCACGCGCCGCCAGCAGGCGGGGGGGGGGCTGCGGCCGGGCAGGCCAGGAGGGGCCGCCGGTCAGCGCGGCTTCCTCCTCCCCCTCCTCCTCCCTCCTCCTCCTCCTCCTCCTGCTCCCTCTCCCCCCCCCCCTCCTCCTCCTCCTCCTCCTCCTCCTCCTCCTCCTCCTCTCCTCCTCCTCCTCCTCCTCCTCCTCCTGCCCCTCTCCCCCCCCCCCTCCTCCTCCTCCTCCTCCTCCTCCTCCTCCTCCTCCTCCTCCTTTCCTCGTCCTCCTCCATTCGTTTTCTTTACAGATGATTTCTCCCTGTCGCACCTTGAGGCCAGTTGTTAGGGCGAGACGTTTTTTTCTCTTGAGACCCACACCATTTATCATTCTAATGTTCAAAAGTTGGCAAGCAGCTTCACAGATGAAGGGCGGGCCGTTTTCAAAATGTGGCTCCCGCCCTAGCGCAACGCACAATCGCTTTAAACATTTGCAAGAGCCTCACGGATTGAGAGAGCGAATCTTTTCCAAAATGTGGTTCTCGCCCCAGCGCCGCGCACATTCGCTTTAAACATTTGCAAGAGTTTCACGGCTTGAGGGCGACTCCTTTTCAACGTGTGGTTCCCGCCTCAGCGCCGCGCACTTTATTTATAAAAGTTGCAATAGTGTCACGGATCCCCATGATCAGCGTACCAGAAGTTGTTTTGTTGGAAGGATTCAGGGTTTTGCGGGTGCAACAGTTGCGTTGATTCGGGGTGTTGAAGTCCCAGGAATGGCACTAGTCAGGAACGTTAAGACGCAACAGTCACGTTGATCCGTGGCGTTGGGATCCTGATAACTGTTTTGGCATGCTTCAGGGGCTTCAAACGGTTATCTTCCAACGAGGTAATTCTTTCAATGGGAATGAACCGTTGTATGGTGGGCCTGTAAAGAGGCAGCTTGGAGGGAGGGTGTATTCCAACATCGTTGATGACTCTTGGGTTTACACTGGTCCTCCTCCTCCCCCTCCTCCTCCTTCTCCCCTTCCTCCTCCTCCTCCCCCTCCTCCTCCGCCTCTTCTTCCTCCTCCCCCTCCCCCTCCCCCTCCTCCTTCTCCTCCTCCTCCTCCTCCTCCTCCTCCTCATACGCTCCGAGGAAATTGGAGCGGCCCGTTTTTGGCTGTTTTCGGCCACCGGGGGCCCTCGCTGGGCCTCGGGGCCGTCGGAAACGAATCAGGTCGAGAAACTGGCCCTAAAATTGACAGTTTTTGGCCGATTTCGGCCTGCAGGGGCCCTCGCCAGGCCTCGGGGCCGTCAAAAAACAACTCGGAACGAAAAACCGGCATCACGGGAAGGGGTTCAGACCTCCGGGGCTCACGCCTCGAAAGAATTGGAGCGACTGGATGTCTGGGGTCTGCGGGGGCCTTGAACGGCGACGTTTCAAATCAGTTTGTTCCCAACCAACTTGTGGTGTTGGGTCCTCGTTTTGAAGAGACGTCGCCCCGCGTTCCTTCTTCTCCTCCTCCTCCTCCTCCTCCTCCTCCTCCTCCTCCTCCTGGCTCAAGTCCTCGGCCTCTGGGGGCCGAGGACACCACAGCATTTCACTCCTGGTCAGGTCCAGGAGCTTGGGGCTCGAACACTTCGCGTTCGCTTACGCCCCCAGAGTTTTTCGGATCGTTCCCCACCAGTCTGCCATGCCTGCCACTCTTGCGAAGGAGCACCTCTCCATCGTGATCTGCGGGCATGTCGACATCGGCGGGAGCACCACCACCGCCCGCCTGAACTACGACCTGGGCGGCCTTCCGCAACGCGAGCTGGAGAAGCTGCAGGAGGAGGCCGTATGCCTAGTACCAGGCCCCATCGCTTTCACGTTCTACATGGACCGTCAGAAGGAGGAGCACGAGAGCGGAGTGACCAGCGCCTGCGCCACCCAAGACTTCTACACCGAGAAGTGGCACTACACAGTCTTCATCGATGCCCCAGGCCATCGCAAGATCAACGAGGTCGTACACCTGCAGAAGAAGGCTGACAACATGGGCTGGTGGAAGGGCTGCAACGTCAAGTACGGCAAGGACTGCGCCACCCACAGATACAAGCAGTTCTGCTATGCCGAAATCGGAAAGAAATGAAGTTCATGCTGGTCAAGGACGGGTGGTACAAGGACGTCGAAGAGAAGGTAACGCCTGCGATGCCAGTCTCCGGCCGGATGGGCGACTACCTGCTTACGAAGTCTGACAACATGGACTGGTGGAAGGAATGCGTCGGCGAGTACGGCAAGGCCCGCGCCATGCAAGACATCCATCATAAGTCTGGATGGTTTTACCTTTCTCCGCTTGCCGCCTGAGGCAAGCCATGCTGCAATTAGGGCTCGCTCCTGGCCTTTGCATTCCGCTGCCCATTGGTGCATAAGAATCGTGGGAGAGGCCCGTGGGATTAGTCTTCCCCGATCTCCGTGATGAGACGTGGTCTGCATCTGTGTTGCTTTGAATTTCTTGTCTTGTGCACTATTGCGGTGTGCACCAATGCAGTCGTCTTGTTTCTAAGCGGCGCTCTGCTTAGTATGTGTTGCCCAGTCGTTCAAAGCTTGTAAAAGACAGACCGTAGAAGTCAGTAAATCAGGTTGAGAGCTTCCCAAAAGGGTGGCGCTTCCCTGAAAATCATGCACGGCAGCCCTGACAGAAGGGAGTGGCTCGGCGATTGGAGTTCCGCCGAGTCCTACGGCCCATCCCCACAGCGGGATCCCTGGCCGCGGGCGGCTTGTAGTCACCAAGCGAACGCCCCCTCCACCACGCGCTAATCCTCCTCCTCCTCCTCCTCCTCTCCTCCTCCTCCCCCTCCTCCTCCCTGCTCCCCCTCTTCCTTGCGTTTCACCCACCCAGCACAGCGCTTCGTGGCCCCATAGGGAGCTCCACCGAAGGCCCCAGTGGCAGCGTTCGCACGGCGGCCCCGCCCCATTTCGGCACACCCCTCACGAGGATCGTGGCCCCATAGGGAGCTCCACCGAAGGCCCCAGCGGCAGCGTTCGCATGGCGGCCCCGCCCCATTTCGGCACACCCCTCACGAGGATCGTGGCCCCATAGGGAGCTCCACCGAATGCCACAGTGGCAGCGTTCGCATGGCCGCCCCGCCCAATTTCGGCACACCCCTCACGAGGATCGTGGCCCCATAGGGAGCTCCACCGAAGGCCCCAGTGGCAGCGTTCGCATGGTGGCCCCGCCCCAGTGTGGCGCACCCCTCACGAGGATCGTGGCCCAATAGGGAGCTCCACCGAAGGCCCCAGAGGCAGCGTTCGCATGGCGGCCCCGCCCCATTGTGGCGCACCCCTCACACGGCTCGTGGCCTCATACGGAGCTCCACCGAGGGCCCCAGTGGCAGGGTTCGCATGGCGGCCTCGGGCCATTTCGGCACACCCCTCACGAGGATCGTGGCCCCATAGGAGCTCCACCGAAGGCCCCAGTGGCAGCGTTCGCATGGCGGCCCCGCCCCATTTTGGCACACCCCTCACGAGGATCGTGGCCCCATAAGGGAGCTCCACCGAAGGCGCCAGTGGCAGCGCTCGCATGGCGGCCTCGGGCCATTTCGGCACACACCCCACGAGGATCGTGGCCCAATAGAGAATTCCTCTTGCTTCGTCCCACCTGCCCTGCGGTATGCACTTTTGCATATGGTTGGGCCCTTCGCCCGGATAATTTTGCTATGGGGACCGCATTTGGCCCTTCCTCCTGCTCCTCCTCGCCCTTCCTGTTCCCCCTCCCCCTCCTCGTTCCTCTCGTCTCCCTCGTACTCTGGTCCGAATCTACTGCAAATCTGATCCAGGTCTGGCCCCAACTATGTTCAAATCCAGTCCAATCCGCCAGCAGGCGCGGGGGGCGGGCAGCCGGGCATCGGGGACGAAACGTCTTAAGAGGCCAACAGCATCTGTACACGTACGCGGTTAAGCTTCCGCTGGAGTGCGCTTGCAAGCAGAAGTTCGTGCACGCAAGACCGCGGAGGGCGTACATGTACATATCATTGTTCGCTCACGGTCAATTGCGCACATATGCACAAACTTCCGGAAGTCCGCGCGAATTTCTTGGATCGGCGCTGGAGCCTCCCAGCGGCGCCTTCAGCGCCGCCCCTGGCTCGATCCTCGCGCCAGACCCTGAAATCCGACGCTGCAAAAAATTGCAACATCGCAAAATCAGAAGCGGACCCCTGGACCCCATCTTTCTGCGTCATTTTTCGAGCTGGATCGCTCTGTAACGCGAAAATTGAGCGAAAACGCCCGGCTCGAAAAAGTGGGGACGCCAGGATCTCAGAGCCCAACGCTGCACACGCTGACCTGCATGCTGACCGATGCCAGGACCTGCATGCTGAGACTGGGCCTAGGGTGATGATGTGCCAACCTATTTTAGCCTTGACCGCCAGAAAGAACTTCAAGCACCAAGAAGGTACCGAAACTTTAGGGTTTTCACGTGGCGGGCCCTGGGAGGCGATACTCGTTCGACACTGTTTCGACACTTTTCCTGGCTCTCGAACTTATGTTTGGGATGTGGCCCGTAAGTACGATGGGAGCCACATAAGCTTAGGACTTCCTCCACATGCTGGCCGAGAGGGCCTCGCCTGGCCTGCCCTGGCATCCAAACTTCGGGAGGTCCGCGCAGATTTCTTGGGTCGGCGCTGGCGTTGAAGAGGGGGGCGCTGCCTTCTTATTCTCTTGCACAGCTGTGTTCTAGAGCTTGGACCTCTTTATTTTCGTCGTCGTTCGTTCGTCATTCGTCGCTCGTCCTCCCCCCTGCCACCCCGACCACGGAAGGAAGCTCCTGGAGGAAGGAGGCGGAGGCCTCCTGTCCCTCGCAACTCCTTGGTGCAAGAGCCAGGGCACGCGTGCCACTTGTTTCGGTGTCCTTGGGCGGTTTCCAGGCCCCAGAATCATCACAATAACCTCAGCAGGGCACCCCAATAGCAGCAAAGGCGCAGAGACAGGTCGAGGAGCAGGACATCTGCTTGTGGAAACGGGATCTCAAGAACATGCGCGGGTGTGTGCACCCGAGTGCGTATTGTTAGAAAAGGGGT